GAGAGCCACTGTGTTATATTTTTGGAAAATTAGTTGTTTATTTATCAGTATCAGATCAAATACAGCATGAAATTAACAGTGACTTATCTGACTGAAATAAGTCTGCCTTGGTAGCCTGGGGCTGAGCTACAAAAATAAATGTGAATACTGGCCTCAAATTTTTATTATTTTTAATAAGCAAGCCACCTATTAAAATGTTGCTTTATGTTAAAAACAGGACTTCTTTTGAATAAATGTAGTGCACCTAAGAAGTGAATGCCATTTGATAATAATCGTAAAAATAATGAAAATATTTTATAAAATCAGGAATTTAAAATATTGTTTTAATGATTTCAGTGGCTCTTTTGAATAGCGATGTAAGTCCCAAATGATAGTTTTGAAAGATGAGTTCTTTCCAAGTAATAATTAAAAAAAATGTAATTTTGAGGGCTTATGCCTTATGAGAAAGTTTAAAAGTTGAAGCTTGTTTTAAAATAATCCTAACTTTTAAATATATACAAATAACTGTTAAAAAAAACAATAACGTCGAATCAGAAAGGTTACAGAAAATGTGATATTTTGTGAGAGAGGACTTAATGTGTACATATCCAGTATCCTCATCATTTTATAAAGTCTTGGGCCAACTAATTTTGATTTCTTATTGAAGAACAGAAAATAAATTTACTGTCTGAGTAAGTCTGTAATGGCCTAAACATTCATATATTATACTGGTATTTTGGAGTACAATTATTATCACCTTTCTAGAGGCATTCTACTGACTTCCTAGAGAACATTATCAGTTATGGGGAGCTTTATCACCAACAATCTCATTTCCAAAAGTCCTAAGCCTGGAGTTCTTCCCAATGGCCTGGCATCCTGGGAATTCACTTGATCTGTTGGGCAGAGACATTTCAAACCCAGGGAACATATGATGGGAATTTAGTTTTATATGTCCCAAAGATATTTAATTCTCCTTGGAGGTTTTACTTGATAATAGCTATGCCCCAGAAAACCATCTTGTTTAACCAATGTGATAAGTTGACAATGTAGTTTTTCTCTCTGATTATAATGTACTCTGTGTAGTCAATACACTAGTACCATGTGAGTGTAATTTCCTCTTTTATTTTATCTCCAATGCACTGTATTATAAATAAACAGTTAAAAAAAACACCAAACAAATCTGTTGCATCTCCTTTTAAGATTGTACCACTGTAGACACTTGTTCTAGTAAAGTAGAATTGGGCGCATTTGATTGCATTTAAATTTTTCATGCTTCAGCAGTTTGGCTGGGAGCACAGTAAAGAAAAATCCCATGAGCGAGGATAGTTTAGAATAATAGAACTTGATTTTGTGTATTATAGCGGCAACATTTGCGCTGCTTTAGTTAGGGTTGTGTCAGCACTTCCATTATAAACCCCTGTTTTCAGGGGGTATAACTAGGGAGATTTTTTAAAAATACAAATTAAAAAAACAATTCATTTGAATGATTTTTAAGTTATAATAGTGCAAAAATAAAACAAAGTAAAGTCACACAGAAATTGACCATTTCCACAAGGATTTTGATTTTCTTTTGCTTATTAGTTGTATATTGCAGCAGCTAAAGTAAGGTGCTATTCTAACATATCGGGGTGAAAATTTTTGTAATGGAAAATTACTTAAATGAGCATGAAAATAAGAGTAAGCATCCCGCATGACATTTTAAAACATTAAAACATGGATATATTTGAGTTTTTAAAGGAGAGTAGCTTTGGTGCTGTGGTTATAGTAAAGGAATTACCAAAAGCCAAGTGTCTTTGTACCTTCTAGAATACAGTTTAGTTGGTCTAGTGCAATGTTTTAAAAGGGAAAGCTAAAGTAAAGAAATAAACGAGATGTAATCAGCAAATTGAAGGATTATTTAATAAAGTAATTGTGCAAAAAATAGTAAATAAAATCTAATAATCAGTAAATATAAGGTTTGTTTAATAAACTATGCATTAGAAATAATTTTTGCACATTTTATTTTTAAAAAAAACAACAAAAGCACCACCCAAAACAAAATGCAACAAAACCAGCAATAAAAAACAAACCTGAAAAAAAACCACAACAGTTCTATCAAAAGGAAATGCTCCAGGAAAATACTTTGTTGAAAGAACAAAAATAATCTTTTTCTCTGCTAACAACATACTTGAGAACTATAATAAAGTAAACCCAAGAAATGAAAAAAAATATGATTTGGATAAGTATTCTTGGAACAAAACGTTCAAAGTTGAGTATGCCTTCCTTGGTTGTCCTTACCTCCCCCTTTCCTTTTCTCCTAATGATGGTGTGAACTGAGGATGAACAGTCAGATTTAATATTACTTTTTTTGTTTTTTGGCAGCCTATCTTTTATTTGCAACCTTGATACACATTTGTATTTGTAGATGCAAATAAAAGACAAGTTATGTGATGTTATAAATAGGTAGCTTTCCTGAATGGTCACTGAAGGAATCACCAGAAGACTGTTGATGAAGGAGAGGTGAAGCCTTTCCTCACTAATTGTATTCAGCGTGTAATTTCTAAACTTCCCTCTGAATTTTGATTTTCAATTAACACTCCCCATTTGAAGATAATTTTCTATTTAATGTAATTGCAGGAAATAATTTATTGGCTGATTAAGACTGAGGACCCAGCCTTCCTTAAGAAAACACTCTAACAAACCAGCCTGTAAACTCAACTCATAGCTTTGGACAGAGTTAGTCTATTTTTACAGCTGCATGGTTGTGTTTTAATTAGGATTGTGCACTATTGTTCACTGGTGCAGTTACAGTTGAAATTATTCTTAAGAGACTGTTTTCATTTTGGGTTTTGTCATGATTAATTTATACTAACGCAAAAATCACAGATATTGCTATTGGAAGGAGCCAATTCACTTTATAATAGGATGTTTGTTGGGGGAGCTAAAGTCACTTTGAGTTTTGGATTATGACTTTCAATTGTATTTAACTGTTTAAAAAACCGGAAGGAAACTCATTCTTTGTTTTTAATGTGAGTGATTACATTATTGATACTGTCATTATCTGAACTATGCAAACACTCTTGTTGTTTGTGGCAAGCTCTTGATAAGCTTGCAGAACAGTTGTACTTTGCCTGGTTTTTCTATAGTAGTTATGGGGCCAGTAAAGTAAGCTCTAAAGTGATTCTCGTATACTAAGAGACATCCTTTGGCTATCATTTTCCAAATGTGTATACATTTGTCCATTTGTTAGTATTGACATAAATTGATGAAGAATATATTTATCTGATATTTTAATATAGTACTCTTTAGAATATTTAATTTCTTTCTCCTCACATTTTTCTGCACTCCATTTTCTCCATTTTATTTTCTAGTATCAAGTCTAATAGATAAAATTTTTATTATTTGTAGAATGATTATTATAAGTAGGTATCAGCATTTTAATATGTTTCAAAGCACTTCAAAAGCCTGTAATACTTTTATTTAGAACTGTGCATAATTAGATTAGCTGATCTTATATTAATTTTTTTCACTGTAGGATACTAAATCTGAGCCCCCTCATTAATTGTGAGAAATTTAGCATTAGCTGTTAAATCCTATGTGAAACATGGGCTGCTACATAAAAACTACTGTTTAAATTGGAATTAACTTAATTATTTTTCTTTGCACTTGATATTTCCTTCACTGCAATATTCATGAAAGCATGTGACAGATTTGTAAATTTAACTGTTAATCTCAGATTTCTAGACCCTTTAATCAGTATTTATTTGTCTGTAGAAACAGTACTAGCAAGTTAATGATTTGCTAATTTGAAAAATGCTCATGTGGTTTCCTATGTTAACTGATTTGTGCATTTTTTAAAAAAAATGGTATGAAATCAATTAATGTTAAAGAGAAATTAAGGTGGAGATTTTATTCCTTTCATTACACAGCAGTTTTGGGGCTAAAGATGCAATAAACTAAAACAACCTAAAGTTTTGGAAAAAATACACAATTGCTTCTTCCATTAAGTTATACACTTTAGTGGTTTTATTTCTAACCATTTTGCTAAGAAATTCATTTTGATAAAGTGATATTCTCTAAAAGTTTTGAAATTCTATTTCATAATCATGATTTTCTCATTTTATTTGAAAGCACAGAATGGAGATCTTATTTTGCAGAGTGTAGTTGATGTTTATTTGTGGGTACATAAATGAATGTTCAGTATTGTTTTGGGAGGTTTTAAATAATATGCCTAGTAGGCATTTTATTATTTTCATAATAAATGTTTTGAATCTTATATTTACTTTCTAATATAAAATAGGCATATAGATATTTCAGATACTCAATTCAAATGCTACAAAATTACCTTAAGACTGATGTAACAGTATCAGCCACTCTCTCAATTAATATGTCACTTAAAAGTTAAGTTACAGCAGTTGACACATCTTGAAGGTCTCTAGAAAAGCATTGGATAGCACTAAGTAGTGTTAGTCTTAGCCCTCATAATACAAGGTGTAAGCTAATGAGTCAGGACCAGATTTACTTAGGACTTTCATGATGGATCATTTACTCTCCTGATTATATTTTTCTACGTAGACTTCTTTTGTTCTTCCATAAACCATAGGAGAAATTTGGATATTTGTGCTTTCAACTCATCCTGCAAACTGGCTCATTTGCCAGGTCATTCATTCATTTTTTTCATTGCTAACCGTCAACCCAGTTACACTCAAGAAGCTTATGATCTATTTAGGAGAACTGGAAAGAAAAATATACACATACATACACTGTACATAATGAAAACTTGTTCTATAAAAATTTCATTTGTGGATTGGTAAGAGAAAATATGGAACAATTACTGGGAAGAGGTTTGCTGAGTTAAAAGCAAAGAGGGAAAGCAGGACAGATAAGCCAAAAGTTCTTTTTCAGTGGTTTAGAGTAGAGCATAAATATCTCTAAAGTTAAAGAACTTTTATTTTTTCCTGAATTAGTGAAATGCAAGAGATAGTTAACTCTTTTGTCATTGACAGCTCTTTTAAATTGATACCGTTTTCCTTCTTCTGCAGAAGAATGTCTTCCAAGCAAGCCACCTCTCCATTTGCCTGTGCAGCGGATGGAGAGGAAGCGATGACCCAGGATTTGACCTCAAGGGAAAAGGAAGAGGGCAGTGATCAACATATGGCCTCCCATCTGCCTCTGCACCCCATAATGCACAACAAACCTCACTCTGAGGAGCTACCAACACTTGTCAATACCATTCAACAAGATGCTGACTGGGACAGTGTTCTGTCATCTCAGCAAAGAATGGTAAGCTTTTAAAATCTGGCCACTGTTAACTAAATGTGTTCCTTAGTATGTCCTCATCATAAACAGTTGTTTTAGGGAAGCTCAAAATACATGGCGTTAGAGTTATTCATGTTTAGGTTATGAAATAACTTCCTGCTATGTACCACTAATGTGCTAGTAACTGGGAAAACTTGAAAAATGGTTGTGATTTAGCTTATGTCCATTATTAGGTCAGCTTGTCAAAAGATATTTGATTTAATTTTTGGGGGGGAACACACAGTTGGTTATCTTATTCTCTGAATCCCTGAATTTAAGCTAGAGAACTTGGTAATATCACAAAATAGGATGATCAAATAAAGTATAGCTATGTATCAATATTGAAAAATTAAATTAAGTAAACATGTCTGTGTGAATGAGGTCATATAGTGAATTATCATCAATGAGGAAATGCAGTGATTTATCATTTTTAATGGTTATTCTTGATTTATAATAAAGCTTTTCTCACTTATGTGCCCATATATTAATTTCTAAAGAACATGCAAAGCTCCTGAGTATCATTCAGTCAGACTGCAGTTTTCTCTAAAAGTAGAAACAACAAAATCAAATACATGCAGTGTATTAGCCAGCTTTCCCATGTTAAATTCCATCTCTAATCATCAAAACAGAAACCATAGTAAGTGACATTATCTTGTTTAAAGCAAAAATATTCAATTTTGTAGTATCTAGAAGAGATCAAAATGTTAATATATTTTATTAGATTAGAAATTTGAAACCCTGTTTTGCATCTCTTAACTTTTCACTAACCAAAAGTTAAGTTAATGAAAAATATTTTAAGTGGGCACTGAGGAAATTTTTATTCCTTAATAAAAATAAAGTAATATTTAAAATGCTTTTACTACTAATAACACATTTAAATTCTTACTAAATGCTTAATGTCTCAGAGACTTAGTTCAATAATTTATGGAGGCAGACATTTTTCTTTTTCAGATAATTTTGCAGACACAGCCAGTGCTCTGGAGCAGTAGGTGAGAAATAGAGAATTGGAAGATAAATAGTTTCTAGATTAATTTTAGTTTTAAAGGGATCGACATTGCATAATTAGATCCACTGGAAGATTTATTTTCCTTGAGTAGGGGGAAGAAAAAGGTATAATAAAGCAAATCTGTTTTAGTGATTGAACTTAGTTCATTTTATACCTGCAAGGTAGTAGCTTGGGTGAAACTGTGATTAATGTAAAATTTAATAAACACTTACCTCATTTTACTTTAAAATAAATATGAAGTCCAAAAGGATGTTTATGAACGAAATATCCAGTCACTGACACTTGCTTATTGGCAAGATAGTTAGGATTATGTTTCATTTTTATTTTGACAAATATTTATTGAGCATCTTTTATATGCCAAGCATTCTACTAATATAGTGGTGAAAAAAACAGACATGATTCGTACCTTCATGGAATTTATAGTCTAGGAGAGGAAATAGAAATTAAATAAATATACCCACAAATAAATGTATAAGTAAAATTGTGATGTGTACTATGAAGAAAAAGAACAAATATTATGTGAGAACATAATGGGGAAAACCTAATTTAGAATAGATGGTTAGGAATTCCCTCTCTGAGCTAAGGATGATAGAAAGTAACCAGGTGGAATGGAACAAAAAGTAAAACTGCAGAGGGAACAGCATGTATGAAGTCCTTGAGGTGAGAAAATTATAGCTTAATTTAAGGAAATAAAAGATGGTCTTTGTGCTCGGAGTATAATAAGTGAGGATGCAACAGATATGGTTAGAGAGATTAGAAGGGGCTATATCAAACAGGACCTTGGAGATAGCATTTTGGAGGTGAGATTTGATCTAAGTGCAATGGAAAGCCTTTGAAGGGTTTAAGAATATTTCAAACAGATAATTCTGGCTGTGGTATAATGAATGGATCAGAGAGGGACAAGAGTGAAAGGAGGAAGACCCACTGGGAGTCTATTTCAGAAGTCTATTTGAGAGATGAGTGTTTCGGATTAGTGTAGAGGAAGAGTGCATAGAGAGAAAGGATGTGTTCAAAATATATTTTGGCTTTTATATCAAATATAGTCATAGACAAATAAAAATAGCTGGACTGGAAAATATGGATAGAGGAAGAAATAATACAATTCAAATTTTATTTCTTTGAGAACACTGTCCTTACTTTTCCTAGTAAAATTTTGTTTGTATCTTAGTAAGTGCCAGGTTGCTTTGGTGAGTTACTCTCAAACTTTTATGATTGAAAATTTTGTTGGAAAATAGATATTAACAATTTGTTTATCAAATTTATATTAATTGTGATTTATGATAGTATAAAATAGTTTAAAGTTATAATATGTTATATATTAGTGTAAAAGAAATCATACTTGCTAGAAATGTTTTCAAACTTTCACTTTCTTTTGATATTAAGCATTGCTTTCCACTGGAGCCTTTGAGTATTCTGAATGTCTGGAAGCCAAAATATTTTGTTTTAACTCCCACTCTATAGTATTTCCCAGCTGTGTACTTATATGGTGTAATAAAAGGATTTAACAAATGGGAAATAGCAGCTGCATTTGGAAATTCCCTTTGTGCGTCCTTTTCACTGGATAGATTCAATAATGTGTAACAACTGTAACATCAGACCTGTAATGACTTATACTGTGAGTATCATATCACCAACCAAGTTTTTTTATAGGAAAGAAAACAATAGAAGGATTTTAGGTTTTTGGGCAGACCTGCAAACCTACAGAGAGAGAGAGAGATGGAGAGAGGGAGAGAGTATTGGAGTAGGAGGACTGTGACTAATATAAAATTTAATAAACATTTTACCTCATTCTACTTTAAAATAAATATGAAATCCAAAAGGAAGTTTATGACATGAAGTGAAATTTGTGTTCTCTTTAATGCATCGTGGTCTTTGCTTACCATAATTGAATCTCATGAAATAGTTGTGGAAAAATGAAACTTAGAAGAAAATCTAAAAAAACGAAAAACAAAAAACCCCCAAATTTTATCACCACTTATTCAGTTTCCATTGTTTTTTACTTTCTGTGATGGCTCTTGTGACCCTCATTCATGAACAGTTAGAAACAAGCCCTAAAAGTTTCTTATCTCTTGTGTTCATGAAGGGTTTTACTTTGATATATCAAAACCACGGAGGAGCTTTTCTGTTAAGAGAGGATAAAGACAAGGCAAAGAAGTTCTGCTAATTCCCACATCATGATTAGAAAAAAATCCTTAAATGTTGAAATTTTGATTATTTCAAAGTGGCACTGCAACAAAATATGAGGGCACACAGTTTCAAACAACAAAAAGAATTTGTTATGGCATAAGCAAAGAAGGAGAACAGAAGTTTTAGAGAATTCAAGGAATTCAAGGGCCAATTTGAGATAAAAATTTTACACTCTGATTTTAATTATAATTATTTATATTAGAAACACCAAAATGTGCAATTTTAAATTTAATGTGCTATGTTAATTGGTAAGATCCATTTGAAGGTTAAAAGTTAGAGTAAATAAGAATTCACTGTCCTTCTCTAATGTATAACCACTACTATGAATATTTTCATCATGGCACCAGTGTGCCAGTACCGTTTTTGCAGAGGGATATTGACATGTCCACTAAAATCTGTTTTTGCTCCCATTAAGACTGTCTCATTAGGCTAGAATAAATTCAAATGTTTTTTTCATGAAAAATGTTTAGTGTATTATTCTTTTTATGTGAATAAGCATGGAGGAACATTTTGGTGGTAATGTTTAGTGACCTGTATATGTTATTGCTGTGATTAATACCTGCTAAAGAATGTAACTATAGAAAGGTCAGGTAAGTTTATATATTGCTAGCAAACTTGTCTGCAAATTACATACAGTTTTTTCGTGCAAACTGTATATACCTACTTACTGTATCGAATGGATAAGTTGATATGTGTGTGTTAATTTGAGCCTTCCCTCCCTTATTTTTTTTCTTTCACTTTAGAGTATAATTTAAAGAGGTGTTATTACCATCACTGTTTACCTGTGTATATAGTGTATACTAAGTTCCAGGTACAGGGACTACCTTGTAAATAATACAGATAAGATCCCTGTTATCATGGAACTTAGAGTCTAATAGTATGACAGACAATAAAGAAGTCTTACAGAGTAGACAATTTCAGACAATGGTAAGTGTTATGAAGAAAATTAAATGAGAAAATGTGATAGAGTATGACTAAACAGATTGGGTAAGGTCTTTTTGAAGAGATGACATCTGAGCTGAAATTTTGAACAACAAGAAGTAGCCACTGCGCAAAGACTTGGGGAAAGCACCCAGCCAGAGTGTATAATAAGTATGAAAGACTTTTGATTTGTGTGTTTGAGAAACAGAAAACAACAGGGTGGCTGGTAAGGGAGAAAATGGTGTGAGATGAAATCAGGGAGGCAGGTAGATGGCATATATTATGGGGTCTTGAAGGCTGCAGTGAGGTTTTTAACTTTATTTCAAGTGCAAGAGGAAACTATTGGAAGATTTTAAGCAAGGGAGTAACATGATTTGATTTGTTTTTAAAAGATCAAATTCCCTGCTGTGTAGAGATTAGATTGTGGGAGATGACATCAGAAACAGGGACACCTATTAGGTAACCATTGCATTAGTGTAGGTGAGAGTTTGATGGTATGTGGAAAAGTGAACAGTTAGGAAGGATACTCGTTTAAGAGTTCCTGAGATTCTGAAGAAGACAAGATTCACACAAAGGGTGGAGAGAATATTTCAAGTAATGTACACATGGGCAGGAATTTAGTCAACAATGAACAAGAAATGAAGTGGGTGAGACCAAGGAGAGGAGAGAAGAGAGTAGATATGCTACTGGCCAGTGAATGGCTCCAGGCAAGAGACAGAAGCTTTTTGCTTAGGAGGCAACTATTTATAGGTGATTTTTGGGGTAGGCCATGGAAATGTGGGTAAGGCACCAAAACTATCTTTTACAAGATACAACACGAGATAAGATTGTAAGTGGGAGAACAAAAAGTAGACCTCCCATTTGATCCAGC